TCCTTCACTGTCTTCAAGATCCCTGGTGGTCAAGACCCGTGGTTGTCTTCAAGACCTCTGGTTGTCTTCAAGACCCCTGGTTGTCTTCAAGACCCGTGGTTGTCTTCAAGACCTCTGGTTGTCTTCAAGACCCCTGGTTGTCTTCAAGACCCCTGGTTGTCTTCAAGACCCCTGGTTGTCTTCAAGACCCCTGGTTGTCTTCAAGACCCGTGGTTGTCTTAAAGACCCCTGGTTGTCTTCAAGACCCGTGGTTGTCTTCAAGACCCGTGGTTGTCTTCAAGACCTCTGGTTGTCTTCAAGACCTCTGGTTGTCTTCAAGACCCGTGGTTGTCTTCAAGACCGTGGTTGTCTTCAAGACCTCTGGTTGTCTTCAAGACCGTGGTTTCCTCAAGACCCTGGTTGTCTTCAAGACCTCTGGTTGTCTTCAGACCTTGGTTGTCTTCAAGACCGTGGTTGTCTTCAAGACCCCTGGTTGTCTTCAAGACCTCTGGTTGTCTTCAAGACCCGTGGTTGTCCTCAAGACCCCTGGTTGTCTTCAAGACCTCTGGTTGTCTTCAAGACCGTGGTTGTCTTCAAGACCCCTGGTTGTCTTCAAGACCTCTGGTTGTCTTCAAGACCCGTGGTTGTCTTCAAGACCCCTGGTTGTCTTCAAGACCCCTGGTTGTCTTCAAGACCCCTGGTTGTCTTCAAGACCTCTGGTTGTCTTCAAGACCTCTGGTTGTCTTCAAGACCTCTGGTTGTCTTCAAGACCCCTGGTTGTCCTCAAGACCTCTGGTTGTCTTCAAGACCTCTGGTTGTCTTCAAGACCTCTGGTTGTCTTCAAGACCTCTGGTTGTCTTCAAGACCTTGGTTGTCCTCAAGACCCTGGTTGTCTTCAAGACCCTGGTTGTCTTCAAGACCTCTGGTTGTCTTCAAGACCTCTGGTTGTCTTCAAGACCTCTGGTTGTCTTCAAGACCCGTGGTTGTCCTCAAGACCTCTGGTTGTCTTCAAGACCTCTGGTTGTCTTCAAGACCTCTGGTTGTCTTCAAGACCTCTGGTTGTCCTCAAGACCTCTGGTTGTCCTCAAGACCCCTGGTTGTCTTCAAGACCCCTGGTTGTCTTCAAGACCCCTGGTTGTCTTCAAGACCCTGGTTGTCTTAAAGACCCTGGTTGTCTTCAAGACCCCTGGTTGTCTTCAAGACCCTGGTCGTCTTCAAGACCTCTGGTTGTCCTCAAGACCCCTGGTTTTTCCTCAAGCCCCCTGGTTGTCTTCAAGACCTTGGTTGTCCTCAAGACCCCTGGTTGTCCTCAAGACCCTGGTTGTCCTCAAGACCTCTGGTTGTCCTCAAGACCCTTGGTTGTCTTCAAGACCCCTGGTTGTCCTCAAGACCCCTGGTTGTCTTCAAGACCCCTGGTTGTCTTCAAGACCCCTGGTTGTCTTCAAGACCCCTGGTTGTCCTCAAGACCCCTGGTTGTCTTCAAGACCTCTGGTTGTCCTCAAGACCCCTGGTTGTCCTCAAGACCCCTGGTTGTCTTCAAGACCTCTGGTTGTCCTCAAGACCCCTGGTTGTCCTCAAGACCCCTGGTTGTCCTCAAGACCTCTGGTTGTCCTCAAGACCCCTGGTTGTCTTCAAGACCCCTGGTTGTCCTCAAGACCCCTGGTTGTCTTCAAGACCCCTGGTTGTCCTCAAGACCTCTGGTTGTCTTCAAGACCCCTGGTTGTCCTCAAGACCTCTGGTTGTCCTCAAGACCCCTGGTTGTCCTCAAGACATTTGGTTGTCCTCAAGACCCCTGGTTGTCTTCAAGACCTCTGGTTGTCCTCAAGACCCCTGGTTGTCTTCAAGACCTCTGGTTGTCCTCAAGACCCCTGGTTGTCTTCAAGACCTCTGGTTAAGTAAGTAAGTAAGTAAGTAAGTAAGTAAGTTTATTCAGGTATACACAAATACAGTTACATAGAATTATCATATATAGCAGCATATGTGTAGAGAACCTAGGATAACCCAAAAAGTCAGACAGAGTGACTTATTTCCATTGGGGTCCTTTTACCTTATTATTATAGTATAAAGGTTATAATATTTTCTTATTGTTCTACAATGAAGATAACATCTTATTATCCTACTAAAAAGACTATCTGCGACACCAAGGTCATTAAGACTATCTACAATACGAGTGTCATTACAAGGAATAAGGTAAAATTTACACGTATGTTAGCTAAAAAACAGAAAATCATTCCCCTCCCTTTCTGTAGCTACAGTCATCAGACACCTTTTGGCACTCTTCTTGAACTGGTTCGCGCTATGACTGGCTTTGACATGTGCGGGTAGTCTGTTCCATTCCTTTATTGCTGTACAATAAAAGGTGTTTGAAGCCTGGCCACTGACTGTGGGTACTACAAAGTTGTGCTCTCTCCCCCTAGTTCTATGATTGCTTTGGTTCCCAGCCTTGACAAAATTGACGGCAAGATATTCTGGACATTGCTTGTGAGCAATTTTATAAACGTGATTTAGCTTCAGTTGTTTTACTCTGTCTTCAACATTCAGCATATCCAACTGCTGTAATTCATCCTGGCCTACATGTTCTCTTGGTCCCAGCCCCAGGATGAATCTTACGATTTTGTTCTGGGTGATTTGCAGTCTATCTTTCAGTTTTTTTGTCAAGGCAGAGTACCAAGAAGAGCAAGCGTAATCCATATGGCATTGTATAAGGGCTAGACATAGAGTCCTGCGAGCCTCAGTAGGTAGACACTGTGCTTGTCTATACAGGAACTTCAGTCTGGCATTCGCTTTCTTTACTACACTGTTCCCTATCAATTCTCCTGACATGCTTGGGTCAAAGGGGATTCCCAAATATTTTACTGATGGTTGTCCTCAAGACCCCTGGTTGTCCTCAAGACCTCTGGTTGTCCTCAAGACCTCTGGTTGTCCTCAAGACCCCTGGTTGTCTTCAAGACCTCTGGTTGTCCTCAAGACCCCTGGTTGTCCTCAAGACCTCTGGTTGTCCTCAAGACCCCTGGTTGTCCTCAAGACCTCTGGTTGTCCTCAAGACCCCTGGTTGCCTTCAAGACCTCTGGTTGTCCTCAAGACCCCTGGTTGTCTTCAAGACCTCTGGTTGTCCTCAAGACCCCTGGTTGTCTTCAAGACCTCTGGTTGTCCTCAAGACCCCTGGTTGTCCTCAAGACCTCTGGTTGTCCTCAAGACCCCTGGTTGCCTTCAAGACCTCTGGTTGTCCTCAAGACCCCTGGTTGTCTTCAAGACCTCTGGTTGTCTTCAAGACCCCTGGTTGTCTTCAAGACCTCTGGTTGTCCTCAAGACCCCTGGTTGTCTTCAAGACCTCTGGTTGTCTTCAAGACCCCTGGTTGTCTTCAAGACCTCTGGTTGTCCTCAAGACCCCTGGTTGTCTTCGAGACCTCTGGTTGTCCTCAAGACCCCTGGTTGTCCTCAAGACCTCTGGTTGTCCTCAAGACCCCTGGTTGCCTTCAAGACCTCTGGTTATCCTCAAGACCCCTGGTTGTCTTCAAGACCTCTGGTTGTCTTCAAGACCCCTGGTTGTCTTCAAGACCTCTGGTTGTCTTCAAGACCCCTGGTTGTCCTCAAGACCTCTGGTTGTCCTCAAGACCCCTGGTTGTCTTCAAGACCTCTGGTTGTCTTCAAGACCCCTGGCTGTCTTCAAGACCCCTGGTTGTCTTCAAGAGGGAGCTGGACACACAAAGTCAGTACATGACCAGCCAGGCTGTGGTTTCTACGTTGGTTTACGTGCGGCCAGCAGTAACAATCTGGTTGATCAGTCCCTGAACCACCACCTGGCCTAGTCATGGACGTGCCACAGTGGCACTGACCCCTGAAACCCTCTCCAGGTATATTCTATACATGGATACCTCCAGGTATGCTCTAGGTACACCGGATATACTTCTAGGTATACTCTATATACCTCCAGGTATACTCTATATATACCTCCAGGTATACTCTATATACCTCCAGGTATACTCCAGATATACTCTGGATAGACTTGCAGGTATACTCTGGATATACCTCCAGGTATACTCTGGGTATACCTCCAGGTATACTCTGGGTATACCTCCAGGTATACTCTGGGTATACCTCCAGGTATACTCTGGGTATACCTCGAGGTATACTCCGGATATACCTCCAGGTATACTCCGGGTATTACCTCCAGGTATACTCTGGGTATACCTCCAGGTATACTCTGGGTATACCTCGAGGTATACTCCGGATATACCTCCAGGTATACTCCGGATATACCTCCAGGTATTCTCTGGGTATACCTCCAGGTATACTCTGGGTATACCTCCAGGTATACTCTGGGTATACCTCGAGGTATACTCCGGATATACCTCCAGGTATACTCCGGGTATACCTCCAGGTATGCCTCCAGGTATACCCGGGTATTACTATAATTATTATCATTACCATAATTTTATTATGATTATTAATTTTACTATTATTATTATTATTATTATTATTATTATTATTATTATTATTATTATTATTATAATTATTACTGCTGTATAGCCCTTGTGGCTTAGCGCTTCTTTTTGATTATAATAATAATATAATCATTACTATGATTAATAGTAATATTATTATTATTATTTAAAAAAATTTTACAAACATGAATTCCTAATAATTTTTTAAGAAGATACTCTACCAAAATAAAGCCTGTTTCCTAACGAAAAAAAACAAAAAAACACATACATGAAATCTATTTAATAATAATTCTTAATGAAGAGAAACAACTAATACATTTTTATTTTACAGTAATAAACAAAAAAATGAATTTCAAAAGATGTTTAGGAAAGTGAAAATGTAAACAATATGGCGGAGATGGCAGAGGAATTTGAAGGTGTCGGAGCTTCTCCTGACTCTGTGGACCTGGAGAAGTTCAGGAGAGTCGTCAGAAGTTATATAGAGCGGGTAGGAGGTTATGTGGAGCGGGTGAGGCGGGTAGAGTGAGGTTTGGGGAGGTTAAATGTGGGTAGAGAGGGTGTGTTGTGAGGGGAGGTTAACACTCATGGGTAGTGGGTTGATGGGGGAGTGGCTCTTGATCCAAGGTATTGGGTTTTTTGGCACCTTGATGCTTGTGGTGGGCCCTTGATCCATGGAACTGATATTCTTTGTTGCCTTGATGTCTGTAATGGGCTCTGATCCAAGGAATTTACATCCTTTGGGGCCTTGATGTCTGTAATAGGCTCTTGATCCAAGGAATTGGGTTTGTTTGGCACCTTGATGCTTGTGGTGGGTTCTTGGTCCAAGGAATTTACATCCTTTGAGGCCTTGATTTCTAATTGGCTCTTGATGCAAGGAATTAGGGTTACCTGGTACCTTGATATTTGGGATGGGCCCTTGATTCAAGATCCTAACAGTAATTAGGTACCCAGGTGTTAGTTACCTTACAAAATCTTACCTTAAACTTACCAGCGCACAATTTTAATTAAAAATCTAAACCAGGTGTTCGAAATAATGTTATTGTTGTTGTTGGGTTTATCAGGGCCACCGACGGCATGAGCCGTATTGAGCTCGGTTTCTCGATGGTACGAGGAAGATTTGTTGCCCAAGGCTGGACGACGAAAAAAAAAGGAACAAAAACTCCTTTGTAAATAGAGATAGAAACTTGAAGTTTCCAATTACATCTGGTGGACGCTCTCGCCGAGCGCCAGCAGAGAGGGACGCCAACACTCCCACCTGAGTTCAGTAACCGGCGTCCCACCAAAGACCATTAAAGAATTTTCCGCAGAGCCGAAAAAATGGAGCTGCTAAAGTAAGCCGATGTACAGGTGCCCGTCCTGTAGTGGCCGGCGGGCAAAATAGACGAGGAGAAGCGTCCCAGTGAGAACGGGGGAAGTTTATCACTGATACTCAGGTAAGAGAGAGACGGCCACACCTGACGAAGGCTGGCGCAGAAGTCCTTCGAAATAATCTTACCAGGTGTTCCATTAACATTCTGGGATACCTGGTGGGTAATTTACGTTGTGTATGATAATTATATTTATGTGTACCAACGGCTGAATCAGGTCTGTGGAGTCGCCTCATAAAACCTCCAACTCCAACTCCTTTAATTCTCCAACTCCAGTAACCCAAGAATTGCTTTCAACTCCGACTCCACATCTCTGGCCTAAATATACTTATTTCAGATATATTATTACAGTATAAAATTTTAATACAATAGAATACACTTAATTTATTTTTTTACATGCTTGTGAGATTTAGAAAAAAATTTAAGTTATTTTTTGCAATATCGATATTATATATGGTAATATGCATAGGCAGAATTTATTAATTGGTAATTATCTTTTTTAAATACTCTCCTTATTTCTAGTTACAGAACTCTATGACCCTTTTGGGTTTAGCGCTTAAATTCTATTCAGATAGCAAGAGCTGTGCTTGTTGGCGTGTTCCTTTCAATAATTTTTTCATCATTTTTTAAAAAATGCCGTCAATCGTAGCATTTACTATATCCTTTTCTATTTTCATTCTGTTGATTTAATATTCTGTGATCTTCCTTCGTCCCTAATACTGTCGTAATTGAGTATATCGTAAGTTTTGTATATCTGTATGTGACGGCTGTATGTTTCATGTTGATGAGTAAGATGCGTGTGCAATGGTTAGGCGTGTTTATTGTTGAGACGTTTCATATACTGCGTAGGTGAAGCGTTTCAAGAATAAAGATATCAGACTGTTGCACGTGTCTGCCACATAGGTGAAATATTTCAAGAATAAAGATGTTAGGTAAAGGGACACAAGTGCAACTAATGTGACATTTTATTGTGGCAACGTTTTGCTCTCCAGGAGCTTTGTCAAGCCGTAATGACTTGATAAAGCTCCTGGAGAGCGAAATGTTCCCACAGTAAAATGTCACATTAGTTGCACTTGTGTCCTTTTACCTAACATATTGTCGGTAATTCTACCAACATATCTTTTAATGAAAGCGCACTTTTAGCGTTGATGTACCGTATCAACAAGTTTTTATTCGCTCCCTGCTGCATTGTACTGCAGCTCGGATTTATTTACACAGATGGTTTAGAGTTTGCTCTCTCTATCTTTCTCCCTCCTGTGCATTCTGTATCTCTATACCCAGTTGTTCCGCTTGTCTTACTCATGAACTTGTCGGTATTTTACGTATACTATCTTCAACATACGTATTTCACATTGCAGCACCACTACAAGGCAGCAATATTCTGGGCAGATAAGGTGGTAAGTCTGAGCGGAGGCGCCCCTGCTGACGTCTACTGGCTTGCCCAAACCTACTTTTCAACTAAGCAGTACCATCGGGCTATTCTACTTTTAAATGGACACAAATTGTTCAGGGTAGGTACTTTGCGATTGAAGTTCAACTTAGTTGAGACATGGTAAAGAGGTACATACAGGTGGACCTCGACTTACGATGGGGTTAGGTTCCAACGAACCCATCGTAAGTCAAAAATATTGCAAGTCGAATATGATAAATAAGCAAATAAATAACTACTGTAGATGAATGGTTCAGAGAATCGACAAGCTGACAAATTAGACACATGTCTAATTTATCAACTTGTCGGTTCTCTGAACCATTCATCGATATTCCTGTCTGACACAGCAACATTTTGAGATCTTAATATGGGAAATTCTTCACTTGCCTAACCCTTGGGCACGACCTACTTCCACATTGGACAAATGTGACACCACCTACGTCTGCTGCACCTCTCCTGCCTATGATATATAAGCTACTTCTCAGCACATATGCTCTATACTTTTCAAGATTGATGGACTGATTACATCGACTCAAGGTTGAGGGACTGATTACCTCATTCTCCTCCTGTTCTTCACCATTCTCCTTTGTATGGACTGATGAAGCCAGTGTGTGGCAAAACGTTTCCTCATTAAAGATACCCAAATGTTGCACATGTGTCTAATTTATCAAATAACTACTGTCACTGAATAACTAAATAATTACTGTAATTAAATACCAATATTGAAAAGTAAATAAATGAATACAAGTTACAGACTTGCCGCCTTCATGCTGGATAATTATCTTAAGTTTCATTTCCGAGTAATTTCTGCCATACCATTGTAAAGTCAGAATGTCATAAGTTGCAGAACACCTTTACAGTAAAATGAAATTTTTATTAATGCAGCATTTCACCTGATATTTAAATACATACACAAATAACCCGCACATAGGAGAGAGAAACTTGTGATGATGTTTCGGCCTGACTCCGGCCATTAACTAGTCGGACCGAAACGTTGTTGTACGTTTCCTTCTTTCCTATGTGTGAGTTATTCGTGTCTTGTTCCAGTCACGGTATTGTACCTTTTTGTTCTTTTAAGAAATGGACCTGTGCTACCTTTTCTTAAATCGAACCTAAATGCCTCTCACATTTTCCCAGGCACTGTATGACTCCTACAGGTTTAGTGCTCCCACACGAGGCTTTACAATAAAGTCTTGTGTCCTGTTTACTGCTATTCATTATTTTGTTATACTTTTTTGAACGTTTCTCCTCACATTTAAAAGATATTTTTTTCCGTTTATTATCTTCATTGTGCAGCCCATACCGAACCTGTGGGTATTTTTTTTATAATCAATATACAGTGGAGCCTCAAATTTCAAACTTTCTTCGTTCCAGATGGCTGTTTGGGTGCCGTTACCGAAGAAATTTATTCCCATCAGGAATAATGTAAATTAGATTAGTCCATTTCAGACCCCCAAAAATATGTACACTTATAAAAGCACTTACAAAAATACTCTTACATAATTGGTCGAGTTGGGAGCTGTTCGATATTTGACGTTCCACTGTATACCTGTGAAGGAGGGGTGTTAATGTTGTACGTAGTTTTATAACTGTAGTGTAAGCCCACCTCTGGCAAGACAGTGATGGAGTGAATGATGGTGAAAATTTTTCTTTTTCAGGCCACCCTGCCTGGGTGGGCCACCCTGCCTGGGTGGGCCACCCTGCCTGGGTGGGCCACCCTGCCTTGGTGGGCCACCCTGCCTTGGTGGGCCACCCTGCCTTGGTGGACCACCCTGCCTTGGTGGGCCACCCTGCCTTGGTGGGCCACCCTGCCTTGGTGGCCACCCTGCCTTGGTGGACCACCCTGCCTTGGTGGGCCACCCTGCCTTGGTGGGCCACCCTGCCTTGGTGGGCCACCCTGCCTGGGTGAGCCACCCTGCCTAGGTGGACCACCCTACCTTGGTGGGCCACCCTGCCTTGGTGGGCCACCCTGCCTTGGTGGGCCACCCTGCCTTGGTGGACCACCCTGCCTTGGTGGGCCACCCTGCCTGGGTGGGCCACCCTGCCTGGATGGGCCACCCTGCCTGGGTGGGCCACCCTGCCTGGGTAGGCCACCCTGCCTGGATGGGCCACCCTGCCTGGGTAGGCCACCCTGCCTGGGTGGGCCACCCTGCCTGGATGGGCCACCCTGCCTGGATGGGCCACCCTGCCTGGATGGGCCACCCTGCCTGGGTGGGCCACCCTGCCTGGGTGGGAAACGGCCGATGTGTTAATAATAACAATAAAACATACCTCCGCTTCTTCATAATTCACTTTTGTTTGTGCTTGTCCTTGCTAATGTATCTTAGTGTATCTAGTGATTTAATATATAAATTTAATTCATTCATTGTATTCTTCTAAATGTATAAGCCATTTTAATTCTTTCTTATTGTTCCTAATGTATAGGCCTTTTTAATTCATTCCAATTACTGTTTTAAACGTACAGTAGAACCCTCGTATCCACGGATTCAGTATCCGCTGTTTTAGTTATACATGGTTTAGTGTGATCTTAAAATAACCCTTGATTTTGTTTAATAATGGCCCCAAAGCGCAGTTCTTCAAAGCCTAAGAGAATACATGAAGTGCTGCCCATGGTGGTTAACGCTCTCGCTTCACACGGTGAGGGCCTGGGTTCGATTCCCAGCCAGAGTAGAAACATTGGACGTGTTTCTTTCCACCTGTTGTCTATGTTCCCCATCAGTAAAATGGGTACCTGGGTGTTAGTCGACTGGTGTGGGTCGCATCCTGGGACACTGACCTAAGGAGGCCTGGTCACAGACCGGGCCGCGGGGGCATTGACCCCCGGAACTCTCTCCAGATAAACTCCAGATCAGTGAAAAAGTGATAATTCTTCACTTAATGTGTGTAATTTATCTAACTTTATCATAGATATGTAAACAGAAAATGACTTGGGTTCACTACTATCCATGGTTTCAGGTATCCATGGTAGGTCTTGGAATGTACCCCCCACAGATATGAGGGGACTGCTATATATGCCATTCAATATAGTTAACCCTTGTTGATGCCTGTAGATGCTTTAGCACAATTCTAGTTTTAATCAAAGTATTTGTGGGCGATATCAAATCTTAACCCTTTCGGGGTGGGTCCCATTGTACTACAGCTTTGAAGTACAGGTCAGTCTCGTTGTTCTACGTGATGAGCTCAGCTCTTTCAGATAAGCTGTGAGCGGTAAATTTGGGCCTAGGTACGGGAGAATGGGTCTAAGCGGTAAGTGTCCAACATGTAAAAAAAGTCCTGCAGCATGCAGTGCATAATGGGAAGAAACTGTGACCATGTTTTTGATTTAAACAGCGACTTTGCAGTGTATTTTTGCATGATTTTTATGGTTGCACAAGCATATAAGACACATAAAACGATGTTTCCAAGCAGCTGTAACATAACATTAGTAAACAACTGCTAAAGCGTAACACAAAGCCTACCCTTGAGTGTGTAAGGCACAGGCTGATTGTCCATGACTTCTTTTGGGGAGAAAAAGTGCACCTTATATGCCAGAAAATATGGTGGCCTGATCAGCCAGGCTGTTACTGCTGGTTGCATGCAAACTGACTTGCAAACTACAGCTCAGCTGGTCAGGTACTGAATTTAGGTGCCTGTCCAGTGCTTTCTTGAAAACTGTTAGGGGTCTATTGGTAATCCCCCTTATGTATGCTGGGAGGCAGTTGAATAGTCTTGGGCCCCTGACAGTTATTGTGTTGTTTCTTAGTGTACTCATGGTGCTCCTGCTGTGCAAATTTGGGACTAGTCCCACTGGGATTTTCAAAGTGTATATTATTGTACAGTATATCTTTTTTGCTTGCATTCCAGGGCCAAAGATACATGATAATACACAGGTCAGTTGTATGGGGTACTTCTTAAAAATAAAGATTAACACTATAATTTACATGTTAATTATGGGTACAGAACATTAAAAAAGGCATAAAACATTCTTTTGTGTTTCAAAATCCCACTTGTCAGTATCTGATGCTCTGAAAGATGTGAAACACTGTAATGTTTTTCAGAATCCCACATGTCGATATCTAATGGCTTTGTGTCACTACGAAGTTGGGGAGTTCCATGCAGCTCTGGACATGTTGGAACGCACTGACAACAACAACATTTCACGTATCAAGGCGGACAGAGAGCCTGTTTCTGTTCCAGAAATTGATGACACCATGTCTGTAAGTATCACATCTTCCACTGGAGATTTATCGCCCTGCAGAAATTATGTTGGACTAGTTAGAGATGCCTTTAAGACCAAAAAGGCACACTACAGCGACTGGAACAATACACAAATAACATATACGTAAATGGTCAAGTCGGACCAAAACTGTCTTAAGCTTCTCTCTCCTATGTGCAGGTTATTTGTATAGTGTAGAGATGCCTTCCTTTTCCTCAGATCAACCCTTATTACCTCCTATTCTCCAGGTATATACTCTATGACATCTATGGGTTTAGTGCTTCCACATGAACATATTAATAATAATAATAATAATAATAATACAGTAATATTAATTATTAAGATTTGTCTATTTTAAGGACTACGTATAAGAAAGCTCTTCATTTGGGCAAGATTGTATAGTGGTATCCCGAGTTTCATACAGCTCCCAACTCGACCAGTTATGTAAGTGTATTATTGTCAGTGCTGTTGTAAGTGTATTTTTGGGGGTCTGAAACGAGCTAATCTAATTTACATTATTCCTTATGGGAACAAATTCTTTCGGTAACAGCACTCGAGCAGCCTTCTGGAATGAATTATGGCTGAAACTCGGGGTACCACTGTATATTTGTTTTGCGAACAAACCGGCTGTCTCCCACCAAGGCAGGGTGATCCACAAAAGAAGAAACACTTTCACCATCACTCACTACTTCGCTGTCTTGCCAGAGGCATGCTAATATTACAGTTCAAAACTGCAAATATTCCCACCCCACCTTCATAGTGTGGGCGCTGTACTTCCCACCACCAGGACTCAAGTCTGATAAAGTTTTTCTTCGTATGTTTAGTAATATAGACAACCTCTCCTCATGGAGTTGCATTCCTAGGAGTAGGTCGGTAAGGGAATAGGTCGGTAAGTGAGGCGCATACTGTGCTGGTAGTGGGTTTGTGTCAACCATTTTTAGATATTTTTTAATGTCACCTTTGCACCATTTATAACATTTTTAATATATTTTTGAATGTTTATACAGTAGCGTACTGTACACTGTAGCAAGCAGAATAGAGAAAATCGACTATAATATACATAAGTTTGCATATTGGTCGGAGATCTGGTCGTAATTCCTAGGCATCGGTAAACGAGTACGTCGCTAAGTGAGGAGAGGCTACACAGGAGAAGGGGTTACCAGCCTCTTGCTCCCAGCAAGATCATCTTCCTGGTAGTACAGTCACAGATTAGGCCTCATAAATTGGAAAGAAAATGTCAACAAATATAACTGAGATCTTTATTGTTTTCCACAGACTGAATGCTCCACACACCTACTCAAAGGATACATATACGAGGCAAGTGACAACCGTGCGCTTGCCGCCGAGAGCTTCCGGGCGGCCATCCAAGCGGATCCTATGTGTTACGAAGCCATCCATGCTCTCACCCAGCACCACATGTTGACAGTAAAGGAAGGTTAGCAGATCAGCATGACTTATAGCAGTATTGTACAGGTGATCCTCAACTGACGATGGGGTTACATTCCAACGAACCCATCGTAAGGGTTAGGGGATCAAGAGCCCCATGAATGTTGAAAAATCGCGAATGTTTGGTGCCCCAATATATTGCAGGGAAATATAATAAAATAAAATAATCTATGTATATACATGTATATATGTACATGCTCCTCCCACTCATATATTTGTCCAATCTCTTTTTAAAGCTACCCAAGGTCCTATCAGAGCTAAAACCTTGGGTAGCTTCACATTTAGGTTGGATAAATACATAAGTGAGAGGGGGTTGGATTTGAATGGGACTTGCATGCGAGTAAATAGAATGCTCAAAGCTTATTGCTTAGGTAGCATTTATTCTGTTAGTGGGTTGGATTTATGAAGGACCTGAATAGTATGGGCCAACAGGTCTACTGCAGTGTTCCTCCTTTCTTATGTTCTCATGAACAATAATAAAATACATGTATGTACCTGAGAACATCATAAAATATTGTACTGCCTCCACCACTGCCTCCTATTTTTATACAATTTCTTTCTTCAATTCTTTCGTGTTTCTCAGTTTCTTTACTAAAATTTATTTGGGCCCATGGTTAATTATGTAGCAGTCACAGTCAATCAACAAGCACCAAACACAATGAATTATTGTGAAATGTTTGGAAGAGCGCAGAGGATAATGCTCACTCCAGCATAAACAAAGCCATACTGACTGACGATGCCTCTACCACCCACTGCTTCAACCCTCGTATTTATTATTATATTATTATTATTATTATTATTATTATTATTATTATCAGTCATGAATGGGGTGACATTATTTATACTGTAGTTTAATAAATAATGAACAAACAAAACACTCACTACTCGTAAGGCAGACAAACTCTGATGACTTGTGATGATTAAAAAAATTTAAATTATAATTCTTTATTTCTCTATTGATATTACATGCAGTTACTGATGACAGTTGAATGGAGATGATTATATGGAGTGTAACTGCATGGCATGAGACTAGTGTGTGGATTCTAAGTCTTCACTGCCTCAGGTGAGGCAGTAGGGGTAGTGGCAGCTTCCTTGTGAAGAACATTGTGATGGGCAACTGAGACCGTTTCCTCTTCATATCAACAGAGTTTGGTAGGGAATTATGGTCTTATCAAGGTCGTTCATCACCTTCAAAGCCCTCAACATCGATGGGTCTATGTCGTATATAAATTGTTTGAGCTGCGCTGTCATTCTCATCACCTGCCCAAGTTTTTCAAGGGTGAGGGCTTGAGGTTGATTGGCTTCAGCAACACTCTCCTCTTCTTCATCCTCATTCTCTGCCTGCACAATCTCCAACAATTCTTCATCATTTAGGCCCAGTGCATGTTCTTCAACCAGTTCTCTCACCTCACCCTCCTGCATGTCCTCAAACCCTTCACCACCAACTTGCCTTGCTAACTCCACAGTCTTCCTCACAGCTTTGTTAACCTCATCTTGTAATAAAGTTGGTAGAATTACCAACAATATGTAAAGTAAAAGGACACAAGTGCAACTAATGTGACATTTATTGTGGCAACGTTTCGCTCTCCAGGAGCTTTATCAAGCCATTACAAACAATACACGGACACAGAGGGTATATAAAGGCTCAGAGTGAGGTGCAATACTAGTGAGGTACCATTTCAATGTTCACTAATGGTAGTAGTAGTAGTAGTAGTAGTGGTAGTGACAAAGGTAATACAATATGGTAGAGCAATTAATTCGTACATGAGTAAAAGGATATAAAAGCTATTACTTGGGTAACATAAAAATAGGTTGGACAAATATAGAGTGGAAAGAGGCAGCTTGTTTCAGTGTTCACTCTAATGTGCTTAGTGTAGTATAACAGGAGAGACTATGTGATGGCAGGGTTTACTGTTTTCAGGAGGATTCTTGCTAAGACTTCGGAGATGGTGAAGCTGCCGTTGTTTTGTTTAATTGTATTCGAAACAGCGATCAGTGCTGATTCAAGGCACTTGCTTGTGCGGAAATTAGTTTCTTTGATCACTAATTGGGCGTCTCTGAATTTCATGAGATGATTGGTGGAATTTCGGTGTTGTACACAGGCGTTGTTTAAGTTGTCGTTCCTACATGCGTAAATGTGTTCATTGAGGCGGGTGTCGAGGTTTCTTGCTGTTTCACCTACGTAAATCTTGTCACAGCCTCCACAGGGTATAGTGTAAACTCCTGCATTGACTGGTTCATGGTGCTTGGATTTTGTCCTGGTTAGATCCTTTATTGAAGTGCTAGAAGCGATGGCGACTCTGGTGTTAGCTTGTGAAAGTACCTTTGAGACGTTCAGTGCAACCTGACTGTTGGGAAGAATTATAACTTTGTTGGGAGTGGTGTTGATGTGTGGAGAATTAATGATCTGAAGAGCTCTTTTCTTGCAGTCTTTGATGAAAAAAGAAGGAAAATGTAACTCAGTGAATGTTTGGTGAATGTATGTACATTCCTCGTCAAGAAACTCAGGACTACAAATTCGATATGCTCTTAGGAAAAACCCGATGATGATGCCTCTTTTGGTCTTGGTATCTTGACTGGAATAGAAGTGTGTGAGATCATTTTTATTGGTGGGTTTCCGATAAACTTGAAATCTTAGGTTGTTGTCTAGTACTTTGTGAATGAGGACGTCGAGAAAAGGTAGCTTGTCATTGGACTCTTCTTGTAGTGTAAACTGGATCGCCAGTTCAACTGCGTTGAGCCTTGCCTGAAGATCCCGTACATCAAAACGTTTTGGAGTTATTACGAGGACATCATCCACGTAATGTAACCAAGTGACGCTTGAAGGGATGATGTTGGCGAAGTGTTCGGACTCTAGGTGTTCCATGTATAAGTTGGCTAGGACGGCACTTATGGGGGTCCCCATTCCCATGCCATAGGTTTGTTTGTAGAGCTTATTATTGAAAGAAAAACAGTTGAAATTAACACAGAGTTCAATCAAGTCAACAAAATCTCCGGGAGGTAGAGGAAGATTAAGGTCCTGATTTTTTGGTAGGTACTTTTGTGAAGAGGGAAGTCACATCCAAACTGCTTAGTTTCTTGTTACGGATGGAGAGGTTACGGATGCGGTTGAGAAGGTCGCCTGAAAACAGTAAACCCTGCCATCACATAGTCTCTCCTGTTATACTACACAAAGCACATTACAGAGAGTGAACACTGAAACAAGCTGCCTCTTTCCACTCTATATTTGTCCAACCTATTTTTATGTTACCCAATTAATAGCTTTTATATCCTTTTACTCATGTACGAATTAATTGCTCTACCATATTGTATTACTTTTGTCACTACCACTACTACTACTACTACTACTACTACCACTACCACTAGTGAACATCGAAATGGTACCTTACTAGTATTGCACCTCACTCTGAGCTTTTATATACCCTCTGTGTCCGTGTATTGTTTATAATGGCTTGATAAAGCTCCTGGAGAGCGAAACGTTGCCACAATAAATGTCACATTAGTTGCACTTGTGTCCTTTTACTTTACATAACCTCATCTTGAGGAGCAAATCCAACAAAATCACACACACACTCTGCCACAAAGCCTCCAGCAACCATTCACCATCTGAGGTTGCAAATCCTTGACACTATCATGCACTACTGAGAGGCAGTCAGCGATGGTGAATTCCTTCCAATATTGAGTGACACTTATATCTGGATCTGCATCCAACACGGTGTGGAGCCTTTGCATTGACCTTCGTGTGTAGTAGGCTTTAAATGTAGCTATCACACCCTGATCAAGAGGTTGTATCAGGGAGGTTGTGTTTGGCGGCATGAACACAACCTCAACATCATCATCACATTCCCTCCAGTGATGGTGGGTGACCTGGAGCATTATCAGGAAGCAGGAGGATTTTGTGTGGGAGGCCCTTCTCTTGTAGATACGCCCGTTACCTCCGTCAGGAAGCAGTGGTAAAACCCAGTCCATACAGATGATGTTGGTGGTCCATGCTTTCGGATTGTTCATCCAGAATACTGGAAGGAGATTCTTATTGCATCCCTTCAGTGCTCTGGGGTTGGGACATTTATAAATAAAGCCTGGCTTTATCATGTGCCCAGCAGCATTAGCACATAGCATTAATGTGCATTGGTCTTTTGCAGCCTTGAACCCGGGTTTGCAATCTTTTCCTCCTTGGCAATGAAGGCCCTGGCAGGCATCTTCTTCCAATACAGGGCTGTTTCATCCATATTCCACACCTGCTCAGGGGGTGTATCCCTTCTCATCGATGATTTTTTTCAAAGCACCAGGGAATGCAGCTGCCAAAACGTGATCTGCCGATCTTGATTCTCCACTCATCTTCAGGTTGTGCAGGGAGAACCGTCTCTTAAATTTTTCAAACCATCCTTTACTTGCTAGGAAGTCAGGATAGCTAGGTTCTGCACCGGTGCTAGGCTCACGACTAGCCAACATATCATACAAAGTCTTTCCCTTTACACGAATTGAATTGCTGTCTATGGGATTTCCTTTTCTATTTTGGTCTGAAATCCACACAAATAATGCTGATTCCATCTTAGACATTACACTGTTTCTTACTTGTGACACTTGCTTGGCTGAGGGAGGAGCAGTAGATGCTAGTGCCGCCCTTATCTTCACCTCATTTTTCTTGATGGAGCGCACTGTGCTTTCGTTTACATTGAATAATTTTCCAATGGCAGAAATGCTCAAATTACTTGTCCTACACTTGTCTAGCAATTTCACCTTCTGCTCAAGATTCATGACTTTCTTTGAGCGCTTAGGGGTTGGCTCATCAATAGCGGTTACTGCTCCCTTGAGGGCCATACTTTCACCACCACACAAACAGCAAAGACCGACTCGCACAGTGGCTGGAGATTGACTGACTGAGTGAGTGAGTGGCGGGTGGGAGGGCTGGCTGCCAGTTGCGGGGGGTCGGAGGGAGGGTAGTAGGGACGCGCGAGTGGCGGGAAACTCAAATATGATTTGGCGGCT